GCTAAAAACCCTAAACCCTAAACCCTAAACCCTAAACACTAAACCCTAAACCCTGATTTCTAAGAGAAAGAGTTTGTATTGATGTTCATATAAACGCTGCTGCTGCAGCAGTTGCTGCTGCTGCTGCTGCAGCAGCTGCTGCTGCAGCGGCAGCAGCTTATATATTTTTATAATTAAATTTGTTTTTGTTTTTATTGTTGAAATAAAAACATTAAAATATTTATTGGGGTTTAGGGTTTAGGGTTTATTAACCCTAAACCCTAAACCCTAAACCCTAGACCCCAAACTGAAGTGTATAAATTAATAGGTTAAATTAAATAATATTAAATAAATAAATAAATAAAATAAACAAAATAAATAAAATAAATAAAAAAATAAATAAATAAATTAAAAAGAATCATCGTCTTCGTCTGTATAATAAAAGTCATCATCATCATCACAGTAATCCCACTTTCTTCTGCTGCTGCTTCTTCTTTTTCTGCTGCTGCTGCTGCTGCTGCTGCTTCTGCTGCTGCTGCTGCTGCTGCTGCTGCTGCTGCTGCGCCGCAGCCGCCTCCCGCTGCTGTCGCTGCTTGGATAATCTATTTCCCCTTCGTCATCTAAAAGCAAAAACAAAAAAAAATAAAATATTTATTTATTTATTCTATTTTATTTATTTTATTTATTTATTTTATTTTATTTTATTTATTTTATTTATTTAAACAAAATAAGTAAAATAAAACGAAAAAATAAATAAATAAATAAACAAAATATATAAATAGAATTAAATGAATACACAAATAAATAAATAAATATACTAAACAAGTAAATAATACATACATAAATAAACAAATTAAACGAATAAATAAATAAATAAAACAATCGATCAACTAAATAAAACAAACAAACAAACAAACAAATAAAAAAATAAAATAAACAAAATAACAAATAAAAAAAATAAACAAAATAAATACATAAATAAACAGATAAATAAACAAAATAAAAAAGTAAATAAACAAATAAATAAGTAAATAAATAAATAAGTAAATAAATAAATGAATAAACAAACAAATAAATAAATATATAAATATACAAAACAAACAAACAAATAAATAAATAAATAAATAAATAAATATATAAATATATAAACAAACAAAATAAATAAATAAATAAATAAACAAATAAATAAATATATAAATAAACAAAACAAATAAACATATAAATAAATAAATAAATAAACAAATAAATAAATAAATAAATAAATAAATAAATAAATAAACAAAACAAATAAATAAATAAATAAATAAACAAATAAATAAATAAACAAACAAATAAATAAATAAATAAATAAATAAATAAATAAATAAACAAACAAATAAATAAATAAACAAACAAACAAACAAATAAATAAATAAATAAATAAATAAACAAACAAAACAAATAAACAGACAAAACAAATAAATAAATAAATAAATAAATAAATAAATATACCTGATGCTGGATCATCTATATCTCCATATTGTTGTAAAAAGGAGTTTATATTTTCAGTTTTAAATAAAAAGTTTATTTCTTCGTTTTCTGTTTTTTCTTTTTTATAAAATATTTTTTCTGTTTCTATCAAAGCAACAGATGAAGTGTCTTGCTGCAGCAGCAGCAGATAAATTTTTACTTTTTTCTTCTTCTGTTTTACATACATCTATCACCTGTATCGTC